ACAGCGTTAGTTATTACTGTAATGAAAACCCAAATACAGAAGCTCACTGTGCATATTTTTAGGTATAACATGCTTATTTTATACTACAGCTTTCAAAATAGTGTTCAGGTGTTGTTTGACTTAAATTGCTTTGTTTACTTTATTCTCATGAACGAATATATTTATTGGTTGTAGAGCTGTGGGTGTTATGGGAAATGTATTTTTGATTTGTAATAACTCCACCAATGTGGACTTCAAACTTATCGATTGATACGGCACACTAGAACGTCTGTATGTTTAGTGCATTAGCTCTGCGCGTGGATATAAACAGAACCAAAGCAGGAGGGGGATTATTATATGAGAGACACATCAGGAGGATTAGGTGACAGCCAAGGCAGAGAATGAAGAGATTGCTTCATCTTTGCTGTTCTCAACTGCAGGCTTCTACTGGTGTGGAAGCCAAGATTTTTGGTGAAATACACAGTGTATCTGTGTGTAACAGTTTTTGTTTTCATCAAGAACACGTTCAGTGTTGGTGCAAACATCCTGTGTGAAAATAAAGAAGGCAAATAACTGCAGAGAAATGGCTTCATACGGCGCATTATGTAATGATTGAGTAATGGTTAGCTATATGCTCATGCTGCTTAAGCTTATTAGCTGTATGGAGCTGGTAATATGTGGTTAAAGTGTGCAAGTCTGGTGATTGTTGCAACGTTTGAAAATGGTTCAGGTACACAGTGTACTGGAAATATATGAAAATATTGCAAGGTGAGGGATCCAATCATGATCAAGTGATCATGGCTGACTATTTTATTTTTTAGTTCCTCCATGTTTTAGGTCCCACTGAGAAATAAACTAGGAGACGAACCAGAACTGTGCCTCCAAAATTGAGTTACACGTTGCTTACACCTGCACTCCTCACAAAACTTAACTGACAGTGTTTTTAGTCCGGACTTCAGGTTAAAACACACCCAAGCTCTTTTTTGGTCTCCACCATCTCTTACTAAAATATTCTCTCTTTCAGCTCTTTAATGCTTCTGTATGTTCACCTGCTAGTTTCCGATTGCGCGTCTGCCATTGTTTTTTTTTCCACTCAAGCTTGTGAAGTGAAAGAGGCCGGCGATGCCGCGAGATAAAAGGAAGAAAAAACCAAAAATAAGAATAAAACGAGAGGAAGATTTCAACCCAGAGCAGCAAAAGCAGAAAACAGAAAGCGGGGTGAGAAGTGCTCGCAGAGAACTCACAGGGAGAGACACAAGAGGAGAATGTTTGAGATACAAGGGCGAGAGTCTAAACTTCAAAGCTTCTCACAGCCTTTGGTGAAAACATTTCGTAACAGTGGAGGAAGCCACCCGGCATTTTCCTCTGCGCCTCCAATCACACAGACTTGGAAATTAGCTGAAGGAAATAGCCTTCACTTCCACCACGATAGGTAGCGGTTGGGGCTTTTCAGTGGAAATGTTACTACCCGGCTGCAACAATTCAGTTTGCAATGGCACCAGTAATTTGGGTGTAATGGGTGGAAAATTGGGAGGGCAAAACTAGGTGAGTGGCAGAGAGAGAGAGGAGCTATGGAGCGAGAAGGAGAAGAGAAGTTGAGGGGATAATATGAGACTGAAGATTCGGCAGAGGATCCCCTCTCAACCTCTCAATGTGTGTGTGCGTAGGCTTCATGGAAGTCAGCCACATCCCTTCCAGACCTGACATTTAACTCTGACACCTCTCATCTCATCTCTCAGCCTCCCTGAGCCTCCCATGGCTTAATGAGCGACACAATGAGGACCCGGACTCCGCCTCCCCTCTCTCTATCTGCCCTTGCCTTCATCTCTCTTCCCCCCATTCTTTCATTCTCATCCTCTCTATCCTCTCTCCACTCTCACACACTCCCCTCTCCAATAATCTGCGTGGTGAGTGTGTGTTACCGCATGTGGATATGAGACGACGAGGCCAATGCGCTGCTGGCAGCCAATTACATTAATGCGCTCTCTTCTTTGAACTGCTTATCGCTGCCAGCGCAGCCATTTCCAAACACTGGGGCTCTGTCATGCCTTTCCAGGGGATGACTCCTGAGAGCCCAGGCTGGGCCCGAGGTTCAGGAAGGGGAGACGCACGTGACGGTAGAGGACAAGCAGGCCCGTACACAAGGCATCAACTAGAGCCTCTCCAAGAAGCAGACATGCCGTTCGGTAAATTGCCAAGAAGAAATGTTTTGAACCGGGGCCAGCGGGATTCTTGTAAATGGACAAAGTCTGAAATAATCAGTTTGCACCTAAACTGTGAGTTTTTTGGCATGATCTCACTGCAAATAAAACTATCCAAATGGACGGTACAACTGAAATAACCCATGAATATGTCGAATAGCTGGAGGGTTTAGAGACTAAACTGTTACAAATTTGAAAGAAAAAAAATCGCCTGCAACTTGTAACCACTGCCTAAGTTTTCATTTCCTGTTTCAAGGCACCTGCAAGCCATGTCTACTCCCAGAATGAGTCATATGTCTGTCACTGGTGAAAATGAGCCCAATACATTTCTGTGCTGAACATAGAAATTTACTTGTACTTTAGCGTTTTCATTTTATGAAGCCGTTCTACATTACTATTCATACATCAGTACTTTAACTTAATGCTGAATGTCGGACAAACCTACACGCAGTGAAGAATGTTCTACTGCGTGACAGCTCTTCTTTTATTTAAGTTAAAGATTTGAGTGCGCCGCTGAAGCTTCTCCATGTTGCAGAGCCGCCATGAAATGAACAGACCCAGAGTCACAGCGAGTGTGCTGGTATTTGCTAGCAGCACTTGGAGAACATGCCAAATTTGATTTCTTCTGGAGTGCTGTACTGCTGGCCTAAAGGTGTAAATAAGTCATGTGTGGAGTTCTACATTAGGAAGAAGACCGTTTCAAAATAAGAAAGTGAATGTTTACTTCAAAGAAAGTTCGGAACTCTTCTTACATCAGCTACCTCTAGAAACCACACAGGCACGCCCCCACACACATAAAGTTCTTGACCGAAAATATGCACATTGCTGTCAGATTCTAGAGCCAAAACAATAAAGACGAGATGGGGGAGCAGCAAATCTCAGGGATGTAATATCCAAGCGGTAACTGTGATTAGCGTGCTTCAGCCTCTGCAGAAATACTCAGCGATATCTGTGTCTGCAGAGATAATCGCTCTACGTTAGACTGCCTCAGAGCTGTGCATTGTTACGTACTCGCGAGTCTTTAATGGAACCTTGTAAAACACAGAAATGAAATTGTATCAAGGAAAAAAAGAAGAGAGGAGAGAAATAAAAGAGACAACTGTTGGGGGAGCATTTATAAAAAAGTAATTTCATTCCAACTTCATTCTGCTGGGTCTTTGCTGAAGTAGTTGCAGTGGGGCAGCATCTGGGTAATCGACTTTATTTCAATTCAGTCAATTTCACCCACACTTCTTCTTTTTCCTGGCTTCCATTTTTGCTGAGGGAAAGATTGGGTTGCCTCCATAATGAAGGAGATAGAAAAAAAGATCCATTTTACTACGAAACTAAACAATTACTGCAGTGGAAACAGCAGCATCAGGGACACCGAGCGAGCTCTCTTCACACAGCAGCAGCATAACGCAACCTTGTATCCTTTCACAGGTTTTTACATTTGTTTAGAAGTTGCCAACTGGCAGCGTGCCGCTTTGCTTCTAATTGTCTCGTTCATATGTGACGTGGCGTCGAATCCAGCTGTGCTGACTACTTTCATCTGTCTGAGATACAGAGGTACACTGGTGAGATTAGAAATGCAGCAGCCATGTAACACAGACGGGGACATCCAATAACACTGCATGGGTGTTAGGTGATCAGCATGACTTCTTGGCATCGAGAGTGTTTATGTGTCACATCCTCTCTTTTCACTCCTTCCTGGGCAATTTTTGTCTCTTTCTACAAAACTTCTCCAAAAACTGGAAAAGTCTTTGTGTAGTGAAAAAGCAAAGACAAAC